GCTATTATTTGTTTCAAATATGAACAATATGATTACAGTCCTTTTACCTGGGCAGTTTTCTACTTCTATTGATTTCCTGCCTCTCCAAGATTAATAAATTCTTTTTAGGGAGTAGTAAACAGAAAAGGGCAGTTCCTTTTGATAACTATCACTGTATTATGTATACACACACACAGTATTGCATAACTGATGCTCAAGGAATTGTGTGAGATGTTTTAAGAGATCTGAAGATGAGAATGTCAAATGCTTTCAGCTGCAAGTAACAATGATGAAGACATCTGAAGACATTATTAAATACAAAGACATTTATTGTTTTGCTAAAACGATATCCAGAGGAAGGCCATTTCCTGGATTGGTACAATGGCTCAATGATGCTTTTAGCTCAGCCATCAACAATGGGTTGGGTTTTTTCTTAATGCTCTAGATATCATGTCCTTATATAATCACATCTAATGGCAGAAGAACAGCAGTTTTTCCTCATCTACCTCTTTTTTTTTTTTTGAGGACTTTTTTTAAAGTTTATTTATTTATTTTGAGAGAGAGCATGGGGGAGGGACAGAGAAACAGGGAGAGGAGAATCCCAAGCAGTCTCGGCGCTGTCAGCTCAGAGCCCAACTCCAGGCTGGAACCTATGGACCGAACCATGAGATCGTGATCTGAGTGGAAAACTTCACTGACTGAGCTATTCAGGTGCCTCTAATGATCCCTTTAAAATTGTTTAAAGAAAACTGTTCCAGATACTTTTGATTTGGAGCTGCCCAAGCTGTCCTCTCTCGTTGTCCCAAATTTTTAGTCACAAATCTGTTCTGAGCATCTTTTTCATAAGTGGTGTTAAGGAATGTAGTATCAATTTACATAGTGTGATTTTTTTTTTTCAAGTCGGCGCCACACCCAGCATGGAGTCCATCGCAGGGCTTGAACTCACAACCTGGAGATCAAGACTTGAGCTGAGATCAAGAGTCAGACACTTAACCAACTGAGCCACTTAGGCGTCCTTACATAATGTGATTTTAGGTGATGTTCTCTTCCTCCAAAAGCTCTCGCCCTTCCATCTTCACATGCCCAAATCTCATTCATCCTTTAATGAAAGCTAAAAATAATGCCTCCCATTTATTTCATTTATTCAGCAAATAACTGTCGCATGCTTATTATGTCAAGCACTCTGCAAGTGTTGGGTATACAAGACATGAGCTCTGACCTCATGGAGCTTACAGTCAGGTGGGGAACACTGACAATTAACAATAACAATTAAGTGATAGGGAAGAATAAGGTACAAGCAGAGGACAGGTAGAAGTATTTACACTGTTGGTGGGGATGGAGCAGACAGAGAATTCTTCTTGAAGACTTTTGAAAGATGATACCTAAAGGATGAGTAGGAATTGGAGAGAGAAAGGGAGGGGAAAGTGTTTATGGTAAGGAGAAAAGTGCATAAGAAATCATGGAGCAGAAAGTGTTGGTGAAAGGACTCTGGAAAAAGGCCTCTTTAATTCCTCCTCCCTGCCCACCCCCACAAGTAACTTTCCATTTGATGAACCCCATGCACTTGATATACAATTTTTAGACCATAAGATCTCTGAAGGCAATACATATGACTTATACACAGTACTGGATAAATATGAGTGCAACTTCAGAGAAGAGTGAGGCTGTGTATGTGTCAATGCAAAATGCTAGCTTAAATATTGAAACAGCTAAGGGAAGAGGTGGATTATACCACATCTCTCTTCAAAGTGATAAGAAAAGCATCACCTGTCTAGGTGACTACAGGGACCAGGGAGGCAACAGGGAGGAATTGATTCATAAAGTTCTGGAGGAAGTACAAAGTAATTATAGCTCCAATCCTCAGATGTTACTTTAAAAGCTATTTCAGGAAATATAATGAAAACCTGGTACCCATCAGGAAGAAAAAATAGCCACTCACTTATGTTTGCAAGAGGTTTTCTTTTTGAATATTCTCTTGGCGTGGACTGCTCTTGGTGTGTGCCACGGTTCTGGGTTACTGGTGGGGAGGGCCCAACCAGACCTGACAAGCTACTTTTAAATCAAATGTTAAAAAAAACCAACAATACACAAAACACAAATGTCCATATCATGACTTGGGTTTTTATCATTTATTTATTTTCCACTTCATTAAAAACATTTTTTTTAACGTTTATTTATTATTGACAGACACAGAAAGACAGAGCATGAGCAGGGGAGGGGCCAAGAGACAGGGAGACACAGAATCTGAAGCAGGCTCCAGGCTCTGAGCTGTCGGCACAGAGCCTGACGCAGGGCTCAAAATCACAGACTGTGAGATCATGACCTGAGCCAAAGTCGGATGCTTAACCAACTGAGCCACCCAGGCACCCAATTTTCCACTTCATTTTAGAGGTGTGTTCCAAAATCCTTTTGCCACTTGGCTGTAAGGAACCAAAAGTGAGTAAATTTTGATAGGGAAGGAGGTTTGGAGATACAGCTATTGTCTTGATAGGCCAGAATAGACAGTATTTTGAGTTCTCATAGAAAGCCCCCCTTAATTTATGTCTCTCCTTAATTCTAGTTCAGCAATTCATCACTGAGTTTGAGATGGTGCTTGTTTGATCCTGTAAGATTTTATTTCGTTGTTAACTTGGGAAGTATTTTTGATAGTTTTTTCTTTAAAGTAATCTCTACTCCCAACATTGGCTTGAGCTCACAGCTCGAGATCAAGAGTTGCATGCTTTATTGAATGAATCAGCCAGGTTGTCACTCCCCATTTTTTTTTTTTAATGTGTATTTATTTTGAGAGACAGACAGAGTGCAAGTAGGGGAGGGGAAGAGAGAAAGGGAGACACAGAATCCAAAACAGGCTCCAGGCTCTGAGCTGTCAGCACAAAGCCTGATGTGGGGCTTGAACTCCTGAACCATGAGATCATGACCTGAGCCGAAGTCAGACGCTTAACCAAGTGAGCCACCTCAGCGCTCCTTCCACGTTTTTTTGATACTAGTTTTTTAAAAGTGTCCTCCTCGAGGATAGAGATTACATTTTTGGATGCTGTCCCATAGTGTGGTGGGTGTGGATGCTGAATTCTTTAATTCGGTGATTCTTAACTTTTTATGTTTTATTAATATACTTTATTTTTTTAGGTTTTTAATTTACAGAAAAACCGAGCAGTCCCCATATAAACTCTCCTTCCCCAGTTACCTTTATTATTAATATTTTATGTTAGTATGAAACATTTGTTATAATTAATGAACCAGTATTGATACACTGTAATTAACCAAAGTCCATATTTATTCAGATTTATTTTAGTTTTTGCCTAAAGTCCTTTTTCTCTCCCAGGATCCCATTCAGCTTAAAAGCCTATGCCGAGTTGTCCTGTTACTTACATCTACATTATACCTAGTTGTCGGGTCTCCTGAGGTTCTTCTTGGCTGTCACATTAACCTTCATTTTTTGAGTCATAAACTGGATTGAAAATCTGATGAAAGCTATGGATCCTCTCCACAGAAAAATGCACCTGCTTCAGAGGTCTAATTTAAGGGAGGTCCACCCATAACTGATTCAGAAACCTAGCTTCAGGAGGAAAAGGTGATCTTTAAAATATTTCTTCCCTCACACTCAGGCTCAAGGTCAGGCTCTACCTCTACTTTGTTGTGTGACCTTTTTGCATAACTGTTTTCCTACTTGGACCTCAGTTTCACCATCTGTGAAATGAAGGGTTTGATTTACATGATGTCTAAATCCTTTTCTAGCACAGTGGAAGGTGGGCGTCACCCACAAAGGAACAAAGGCTGTTAACAGACCAAGCCAGGTCAGGGAAGTGGAATGGCTTATCAATAATGAGGTCGCAGAGGTTCAATGGGGGAAAAAGACATAACCTAGGTTCCACTTTATGGCTTCGTGGATTTTGTAAGTCATTTCCTTCCTCTGAGGTTCAATTTCCTCATCTGCAAAAATGTAGAGGCTCTGCTTCTGGTAGTTATGAAACTCCTGGGAGCAACAGTGAGGAATTATGATAAGAAAAAAAAAATGGAGTAGGTGGGTGGGTGCACGGGTGAAGGGCAGATTTAAGGAATACGAGGCAGGGCTGAGGGTTCTCGAGAAGAGAAACACAGTACACACCTTAGGGATCTCACACCACACGCGCACTGTGCTGGGGTCAATTCAACCTAGGTGCCGGCCCCGCCTCCTCCCTCCCCACGCTTCCCCTCCCCTCCGGCTGCGACGCGCCACACTTCGCATGGTAGTCACCGTGAGTCGCTTTCCATCGCGCTAGGGCCGCGCGCGTTCTCGCGCCGCCACCTCACTGCCATCTCTGCCCGCCTTTGGCCCCTTCCGATTGGCTCTCACGTTAGTGACGTACATGCTCCTTATTCTATCCCCGTCACTTCCCCAGGGTTCCGCCCCGCCTCCCCTTTCCTTCTCCCGATTGGCGTGGCAACCTAACCTGCCCTGGTCTCCGCTGTGAAGGAGAAGCCGGGAGAGCAGGCTAAACCAGGAAGGCGCTGGCTTGTGGCGCGCACGCGCACGCACGCACGCCGGCGGCCGGAGGGGCGGCACGCTCGCGCCCGGGCTCGCCGCGCGCCGCGCCAGAGGCTCGCGCACTCAGCAGGTTGGGCTGCGGCGGCGGCAGCTGTGGGAGCTGAGGCGCAGCGCGTGAGAGGTCCCAGACGCGTCTGCGGCTCCGGTTCCGCCACCTTCCTCTTCTCTCACCCCAGTCTCGGTGCCGGGTGCTGAGAAGGGAACGGCGCTAGCCTTGGTAACTTAGAGCCCACCCTTGGCTGCTTCCGACACCGCCATCCTTCCTTTCCCAGCCGCGGGCCTCTCGGTGCTAAGGCGACTCTGTGGGGAGGCGGCGGCGACGGCTGCCTGTCTGTGGGGAGGAGTCCTGCCCTCCAGTCTTGCTCCGCCGCCGGGCCCTGCAGGGTCCAAGAGAGCTCGGCGCCGGTCCTTTCTCTCACCTTTTTCGTCAGCCGATTGGTGCAGCGTCGGTCCGAGAGGTCTCTGGGCTGAGGCGGCGGCAGCTCCTTCGGCTTCATCATGTCCGCGGGCGGAGACTTCGGGAATCCGCTGAGGAAATTCAAGCTGGTGTTCCTGGGGGAGCAGAGCGGTGAGTGCGCGGCTCCCCCACTCCTGGCAGCTGGCCGCGGCTTCCCCGCACCACCCCCAGTGCGGCCCTTCTGTCCGCGAAGGCTCTCTCTACCGGCCTCGCGTTTACACTCGGTGGTAACTCCCAGCCCTGCCCGGTGTTTGCTGACCTCTGTTAGCCACCGGCTCCTCTTCGTCTTGATCCGTCGGTCAGATTTTTGACCCTTCCGTCCCCGGTTCAGACGTCTCCTTCCACCTGCCCCCGCCGCAGCCCGGGCCTCTCCCGTCGGTCTGCCCCCTCCCCCCAGTCCTCACCCCGCCCAGCCCCAGCCTGCTGTCCATCCCTTTATTCCTCCCGTCTCCGCCGTCTCACCAACCGTAGCCCCCTTCCTTGAGCCCCACCCTTATCTTTGCTTTTATTCCAGTTCGTCAGCTCTGTGAAGGCCCACCCTGGGAAGCCCCACTCCGGGAAGCCCCGCTCCCGGGAACCGACCCTCTTCAACCTTGGACTAGGAGGGTGGGGGGATTAGGGCGTTGTTTTCCTTAGAGGCTTGGTCCTGGGATATGCGGATCTTATGGGAGGTGGGAAATGGGGGGGTCGTAGAAATTCTTGGATGGTTTTCCCTTGGGTGGGGAATTAGTTTGGAAGATATATGTCTGAATTAGAGGCGACTTGAGGATGGAGTGGTTGGGGAGTAAGAGGGGTGGTGGCGGCAGTGGTGATTTTTGTTTCTTGGGTTAGGCTGAGGCTTGTTGGAAAACCTCATTTTCTTCTCATGACTTTGAGCCCTGACAATTCTTCTGGCACTGTTGATGCTTTGCCGATCTCTGCCAGATGCTATGTCATGATCGTTTTACTTGGAATTTTTCACATCTCCCCTCTCCTCCTCTTTCAACATGAAGCAGTGTCTGATTCTCTTTATGGTGGTGCAAACGGGGATTACCAGGGAAATGTTAATTATTTCATTTCTTCTGAGTGTTTTCAACATATAAATATATTTAGGATTCCTGTGAGAGAAGGCCTGAGAATAACGAACATCTTTGTTTTGTAGGATTTCCTTAGGGGCTAGGGAGTAATGGAGTAGAGTAGAATAGATTCATCATCTGGTTATCTAAATTAGATTTCAATATGTAATGCCGTTTCGGCTAAATGACCCTTTTATGCTTAATATTCCACAGTATATGATGAGTAGCGTGATCTTACTTACCTGGTCAGGCTTCTGCTGTCGCTTACTTTGTATTACATACAGGATCATAGTTTTGTGATGGCTTTCTCCAAAATAACTTCTTGTGGTGATTCCAAATTTATGCTGAATTATGAAACTTGGCACTGGACAATCTAGAGATTATCATCCTTTTTTGTTTTTCTTACATTTTTCATGACCATCTTTAAAATTCACACATTGAGAGGTTAGTTCCTCCTAAATCATCATTGAGTTACCTGCTAGGTACCTTAGATTAGGCTGTAGGGAAGAAAATTTCTTTTGATTGGAAAGCAGATAACTGATATAAATTCAGAGCTTTTACAACTACCTTGAACTATTTATACTAATATATATGGCATTGAAGTAGATTAACGTTAGTTGCAAAATTGCTTCTAGTTGGAGCTGAGAAATCACTTCTCTCTTTTCATGTATAATCTTTGCCTCTTGCTTCCTTATCAAGGAAAAGGATAGTCTCCTCTTTGCTTATGAATATTCCTGAAGCATGTATAAACTTGTTTAAGTAACTTGGTAAGACCTGTGAGCGTGAACCCAGTCTAGGTGTTTTATGGCACTTTTAGGACAATGCCATGTGTAAAATATAGTGTATTCGTCATTATTGATAAATAGGATCTAAAGTGCTTATTGTGCACTCTAGGGATGTTATTGCCGGCCTTATGTTGTGATGAAGAACTATTTAGTTTGCATGAAGAAACCTTTAATCTCTGCCCTAGGAAGGTTTTAGTATGAGTAGAGATCATAAGTTCGATATTTAAAGGTTTCCTTTGAATTCCTTGAGTATTTATGTTCTAAATGACATTGCAGAGTTCCGTGCCTTCTCATTTTTTACTTTATTTAAGTCTTGACAATGACCTCCCTGTAGTTCCTGAAGTCATCTTAGATTTTTTTTAATAGACTATTTTTTAGAACAATTTTAGATTTACAGAAAAATTGAGAAGATTGTGCAGAAGGTTCCCATATAGCCCCACCCAGTTTCCCCAGTATTCCTTGGTGTTCTTAACATCTTAAATTAGTATGGTACTTTTTTATAATGAATGAACCAATATTGATGTGTTATTATTAACTAAGTCCATAGTTTATTCAGATTTCTTTTCATCTTTTTTTGTTTCAGGATTCAGTTCAGGATACCACATTACGTTTAGATGTCAGTGTTTCTTTAGGCTCCTCTTAGATATTTTCTAAAGTATTGTATTTACATGCTTTTAACTCTGGAACTGTGGGGTTAATTATCTTTTAAGGCTGCTATAATGCTAAGTAATGCCATCCGATAGCTTTGACAGTGAAAGATTGATCTCTGTTTTCCTGGGCAGTGTCTGTAGTTTTCTTATGCATTAGTAAAGGTCTTTGGAGCCCATGTCATCTTGATGTAACTCTTCATGAATTATTTATTTTTAGGTTTTACAGTTCCACAATTCAGCTTTCAAAAACTAATCTGTGGCAAAGCATTTACCACATTTATAATTCTTATTTGTATGTGTGTGTGTGTCTGTTACCCACAGCAGAACATAAGTCCCATGAAGATTACAACTTATTTTTTTGTTCATTGTATCCCCAGTGCCTAGCATAGCACCAGGCTCGTAGGTACCAGAAATATTTGGTAAATGAATGATGGTTGAATCTACTAGGAATCAAAGCTGGTAGCCTGTATTAGTCTTTGCTGTGGTGGAATCTATGTTTTATTTTTCCCATAGGCACTTAGTAGTTTAACAATAACATTTTATACTTACATTAGTTGATTGTATGCTGGGATACTTTAGATTCTTGGGGTTCGGGAGCAGGGAACCTGCTTTTTTTTTTTTTTTTATAACTCTTGCCATTTTGCTTAAAAAAAATAATGAGACCAGGATTTTGCATTTTTTGGGGGGTAGGTTGAGAAAAATTAGTTTTGTTTAGTTAAAGCTATTGTTAAATTGTTTGCTATTAGCGTAGAACCTAAAAGTATGTCAAATGTTATTAAAGATGTGTTCATGGAACTGATTTGGAGTTAAGTAGACTTCTGTTTAGCTTATCAAAAATAAAGCTTCTGTGCTTTGTAATGAAGATGAGTTGTTTCAGTATATGAAGTGTCAGAGCAAGTTAATGATATTAGTCTTGGTAATCTAACAAGGCTTAGGGTTTATATTTCAGTAGTATACATGATTTAATAAAGGAATGTTGGAGTACACAATTTACAACCGAAGTTTCCTTAAGAAATCTCTTTTATTGCTACCTCTGGCTGCCGTGTTGAAATGCTGAGGCACTTTTAGGAATGCATTCATGGTTTATAGTGGAAGATATTACTACAAACAAATGTTACAAATAGGGTTACAAATTAGGAAACATCTCAGGTAGAAGCACAAATTTGGCCTAATGCTGCTTATTTTTTCATTCTGTGTTACTCTTTTTACATCAGGTCTTTTGAATTATAACATGCTAGATAGGGAAAATGTGTCTTTCCATCAGGGATCAGGAGTACTGAACAGTTTAGATTGGCTAGATCAGTGATCTTAAACTTTTCTTCTCAAGATACCGTTACCTGTTATGCTTTTACAAATTGTTGAGGCCCCTAAAGAACTGTTCATATGGTTTATATCAATATTTATTGAAAATTAAACAGTTTAAAAATACTTAATTCATTTAAAAATAAAAATAATTAAACCCATTACATGAAAGAACTATTTTGCAAACAAAAATTTAGTGAGAGAATGGCATTGTTTTACAAATTTGTAAATCTCTTTAATGTCTTTGACTCATGAGAAAATATCTGGATTCTCAGATCCTTCTCCATTCAATCTATTGTAATGTCACGTGTCATATAGGCTCTGGGAAACTCCACTGTACACTCATGGGAGAACGAGAGTGAAAAAAGCCAAATAACAATATTATGAAAATGGTTTGACTCCCAGGAGGGTATTGGACCCTCTACTGAAGAGTCCTGGGGATCCTGGTGGTCAGTAGACCACACTTTGAGAACTGCTGGATTAGATGATATTAAGCCATTTGTACCATGGAGCTTCATACTGCAAGTTAGGGCAGTCAAAGAGAATGTTTTCCAGATCTGGTTTTGGAGCCTTAAAACTAAACAGTAGAGCTAGTGATTAAGAGCACAGAGTCTGGGTTTCATATTTTAGCACTGGCCACTGGCTTTGGGCAAATTATTTGACTTCTTTGTGCTTCAATTTCCTTCTCTAAAGGTAATAGGAACTATAATACAGAGCTATTGTGAAGATTAAATTAGTTAATAAATGTGAAGCATTTACAAGAGTGCCTGGCACGTGGGAAGTGCTCAAACTATTTAAAAAAAAATTTTTTTTAATGTTTATTTTTGAGAGAGAGACAGAACGCGAGCAGGGGAGGGGCAGAGAGAGAGGGAAACACAGAATCTGAAGCAGGCTTCAGCCTCTGAGGTGTCAGCACAGAGCCTGACCTCGAACCCATAAACCAAACCCATGAACTGCAAGAGCTGAAGTTGGGTGCTTAACCCAGGCACTCCATGCTTGGTAACTATTTTAATTTAACACATGTGCATGTAAAACTATGCTGTCAAGTGATTTGATAGAACATAAGCTTAAATTTACATTTTATCAGGAAAGAAATATTGCATATAATATCTAAAACAATACAGTGTAATAAGTGCAGCTGCTTAGAAAAATAGAGTTAAAAGGTATAAAGAAGTGACAGGAGCATGGGGTTTCAGGGAAGACACATTATAAATGACTAATAATTTAAGTACTTTGAGCTGAAATTCTTGAATTAGAACATTACAGAATTGGAGGAGACTTTCAGAATTCATCTTATCCATTTCTCTTAGGGCTTTAAA